CTGGCCCTTACCATGGAGCTCCTGGCCCTCAGCACGGAGCTCCTGGCCCTCAGCACACTGCAAACAAGCCCCAGTCCCAGGCTGAGCTGTGTGAGGTGGTTGCTGTCCCGGAGTCTGTGCCGTCGGCGCTGTCAGTGTGAGGCTGTGCAAAGCTGCTACCGGAGCCACACGTCAGTAGTGAATGTAAATGGTCTGTAACATGGTGAACATGGACACATTTTCTTTTCAAATGTGATGTAAACTTTGTACAGTACAAATTTTTTTTATATTTTCTATGAACTGAGTGTCTTCCAGAACTGCTATTAAATTAATTACAAATTGTTAGGATTAACAACAGTTTCTGTATTAGTTTATGCAACCAGCAAAAAAAAAAAAAAAAGGAAAAAACCCCAAGAGTGCACTCTACGCTACTGGAATTCGGGATATGTAGGAATCTTTTCAGTGAATAAATCTTTGCTCTGGATCAAGTGAGTGTTCCCGAGTCGTGGTTTGACCTTTCCCTCCCCATCTACAGACACCCCAGGACACCAGGGCTGGCACACTGTGCCACAGAAGCTGCTCCAAAGACATCCAGCCCTGCCGAGCTCGGCAGACCCAGGGAATGGCAGGGAGGAGTCAGACCCTGCTCTGCACTGCGACAGCATCGGCTCTCGTGGCAGGGCTGGGCCTGTGTCTAGAAATCCTATGGTCCTTGGAAGAATGTGCTGAAGCAAAAGGTGACAGAAGTTTCAGTTTTTATCTTGGACTAGAGTAATTATCCACTGCCTTCAGATCTGCCCTTTATCTCGCCCGTTTATGTCTGTAGCAAAAGCAATTCCACCAAGTTCAGATCTGTGCTGAGACTGACGTTAGCTTACAGCTGGGACAAGTTCAAATAAATTCACAAAGAATTAAACCAAAGCTCTGCTGTTCTCAATCCTTTCCTTTAACTGTCTCCACCTCCCTGCGAGGGGAAAGGTTAGCAATGGTGGCATCAAGATGAAAAGGACCCCAAGAACACTTGCCTAAGATGCTATAAAAGGAAAGCTGTGCAGCTTCTGAGCTGACACCAATGCCTGGGCCTGTCACTCCGTCCTGCCAGAGGCCCCAGCAGGAACAGACACTGTTTCTTGCCTGGCTGGCAGAGTCCAGGGGTGTCCCACACCATCAGGGCAGGCACAAACCCTTCCCAACAGAACCTGAGCTGCCTCTGCCTTTCCAGGCTGACGCCAAGGGCAGGAAGAGGTTCACTGAGCCACACAGACTCGTTGGTCTCAACGTAAAGGAAGTTTTTATTACAAACAAATCAAGTAACCAGAGCACAGGATTCAAAGGGACAAAGTGCTTTGGAAGTTGTGGAACCTTCCTGCCATAGGCTCTGTAACAGCAGCTCAGGTTTGTGTCCCTGAATCACACAAGCAGAGGCTGAGCCTGCACACATGAGCAGGAGTTTCACTCGGTCCCTGCTGTGGCCACACAGTGCCCAGGGACACAGCCCAGGCACTGCTGCCAAGTGAGGCCTATGTGCCAGTAAACCAATCTGATATAAATAAGTTCACAAACAGTACATTTCAAAAAAGATTCCAGCTCTAGCTCACACAGTACAAAACTCTGTATTTTCCCTGTATTTACAAAAAATACCAGATTTATACCAGCACAGACAGTATTAAAAAAAATAATTTGCATTTCCACTATTAAGATAATCTATTAGAGTGTCAGAATAAATAGCAACAAAAGTTCAATTTAATATTGTTCTTAATTCAGGCTGAGGTTTGAGAGTCAAATCCTACAATCCTGTACATATTCTTGATTGAACATGTGCAAGAAAGAGAATTTGACTCCTTTTTTTTTTTTGCAAATAACAACAAATGTGCAAGCATTGCCTAAAACAGTAGTGGATTTGTTGAACTCGTGGATTGCAAAGCATTTTTGGCTTCATGTGGGAACAGAGCCCCAAATATATCTTCATGGTATCGCTTTTGGCTCTGCAAAAAACCAGACAGGAAACTCAAGAGATGAATGAGGAGCTCCAGGTCCTCCTTGCCTAACCAAAAGGCCTTTTGCCTCTGCAGGAGTGGTTACTGCCAATGGCTGGGGCACAGGGAATAGTGCTCCAGGACCAGTTCTGGTAGCAGAAGGGCCCTAAAGAGCAGCAGCCCCAGGCACTGTGTTCTCAGGGATGAGCTCACTGAGTTCCCAACCTCACTCTCCTCTGCTGGTGCAATAAAGTCTTACACTCCTGATGTTCCTTACACTGCCAAGCCGATCAGGGCCCACAGGGAGACCCTGGGCAGGTGCAGGAGAAGGGCAGCAGGAGTCACTCTCACGCCCAGACCGAAGAGAAGCTGTGTTTGCAGTCACACTGGGGGACTAAGGTGGCCACTTAGAGCTTTGTTCCCCGTGAATTCTGCTGCAGAGGAGCCCAGGGCAGCCCACAGGGTCCTGAGTGTGGCTTTGCAGGCCTCTGTCCCCCTCCCCTGGAGCACTGACTGGAGAGAATGTCCTGTGTGTCAGAGCTTACCTTCAGCTGGAAGAAATACTCCTCTGCCTGCTGCTCACTGAGCTCCAGTGTCCTGCAGAACATCTCCTTCAGCGCCAGCGCGACGTCCTTGGCCATGCGCACGTCCCCGCACACGTACACGTGTCCCTCCTCCCTGTGCACCAGGTCACACACCTGGGACTCCAGTGTGCTTTGGAGAATGTCTTGAACATAGACCTTAGAAAGAGAAAAGGATCATCAGTCTCTTAAAAGCTGCTTTGGCTCAATGTGGGTGTGTGCAGAAAGGCTCTAAATGCCCCATCGGGTTCAGCTGCTGCACCACAGCACCAAAAAGTGTCTCCATCCTGCCTTGATGAGCCCCAGACCTGGGGGCTGGGCCTGCCCTCCATTCAACTAGAGGAGATGAAGAATCTGCCCAAGTCTCCTAAGCTGCCAGGAGAGCTAACAAGGGGATAGCACAAGTGCTGTTGTTTTGGCCAGTCAAGATTTCCTCTAAGTAAAATGAATTTCATGGTCACTGTGCCACTGAAGTGGAGACAAATGGCCAAAGCAACTCAATTCTAACTCAAACCCTGCTAAATCTAAGGTTTCTGAAAATGTTCCAGTTTCTAGTTTCCAGGCTGTTTGCCCTGGAAGTGCCTCTCTCTGTGGCACTGAGGGGTTCCATTTACACAGTTTGCTTGTGCAGGAGAGCACAGTTAGCTTCTCCTTCACCTCCTGCCACCTGCTCACAACACACTGAAACAAAATGCTAACAACTTTTAAAGAACATTGTCAAACAGAGTCCAGATTTTAACTTGAGGGATGATTCTGGAAGGTGCTATCCCCTAAAGGACAAAGGAACCAGCCTTACTTTAGCCTGGCCAGGCAGTCTGGAGTAAGCTGTGTAGACTTCCTTCAGGACTCCCTTCCTCTTCATCTCCGCAGTTTCTTCCTTGTAGATGTGATCCAGGTCTGGCTGTCGGCAGCCGAACAGCAACGTCATGTCACCTCCTCTGATCCCTGAAACCAGGAAAGTGTTTGCCTGAGTGCCTGGGGCAGCCACTGACCCTCAGGAGCTACAGGGACACGGGCTGTGCCCCCCAGGTCACCAAACCCCTCAGGACCACCGGAGTGGGCTCTGGTGGGATGAGTGAGCTGATCCAGTGCAGTGCCAATCACCCTGGGGGTGCCAGGTCTCTGGGGTTCCTTGGCTGATGTTTGTGGTGTCTCCAGCTGCAGAGCTCTGTTTGAAGCACTGGGATGTCCCTGCTGCCAACTGTGTTGCCCCCCCCGGCAGTGCCCAGAGCTACCTCTCTGCTCCAGGTCGTAGAGCCGCTGCAGCCAGAAGCTCCTGAAGGGAGCAATCCCTGTTCCCGCCCCGATCAGAATGCAGGGCTTGGATGGCTCCTCTGGGAGATGGAATTCATCAGCACTGGAATGCAAAAACATGCTAATTAGAGATCAGTTCCTGGCTGGTCTCAGTGTGTCTCCTGGGTGGCTCTGGGCAGCACAGCCCAAGCCCCAGTTTGAAAGCAGCAATGGGGCTGAGCTGGGTCAGTGCTCCCTGTTCCCCTGGTGTGCCACACTCTGAGAGCCTGAGCTGGCAGAGGGGATGAGCCGACTGGGCGTGGGGTCAGATGAACACAATTTTACTCAACACGAGGCAAAGGATCTCATCCCTGGAAGACAGGAATTGCCTCTCTTCTCAGACCCAGCTATTGCAACTTGCACTCACCAGTCCCTTGAAAATGCGCAAAGACAAACGCACTGACACAGCTGAACTCAGAGGGTTTGGGGGTTGATTTCCCCTTTTCCTGCCATGCCCTCACTGACCTGCGTATGAAGCATGGAACTGTGTCCTCCAGGGCTGCTGTACTCAGCCACGTGCTGCAGACTCCGTGGTGCAGAGGCCCTTCCCCGCCTGTCAGAGCACAGCACAACACCTCTGTCAGCACCCAGAGCTCTCCGGTTTGACAGAGCACAGCTCATCCTTACAATTACAGGTTTCCAATAGCTGCATGCCTGGCAGTGATTGGTAACACAAGGATGCACTGGTGATGGGTCTCAGCAAGTCCTGGCCCTGTGCACACCTGCCCTGCACTGTGCTCTCCCGCACGGGGCACAATGCACCCGTTTTGTTACAGAGCAGGCAGCCACAGGCCACAGGCCTTTCCTGAGCCACAGGGCACCATTCAATGCAGAGAAAAATGAAAACCACAGTCCATTACCTCTTGTCCTGTAGTTTACGACTGCAACTGTCAGATGGATCTCTCTGGCTGTCATGTCACAGGAGGAGCTGACAGAGTAGTACCTGGGCTTCAGAAAGGGCAGCTGAGTCAGAGTCCTCGGCAGAGGGAAACTCCTCCAGGACCTCCAGGATGTTTGGGCTGTTGTAGAACTTCCATTTATTGTATTCCTCTGTGCTCTGAAAGCCAAAGGGCATCACCACCATGTCAGCAGGTCGTGCTGAGCTCAGGAGAGCAGGGAGATTTCAAATGCCCCTTATAAATAAGACTCCTGCTTTACATTCCATTAGACATGCAAGCAAAGCTACGGAGAGTTCTCAAAACTTTGCCAAGGCCAATTCTGGGGCTTCCTAAGAAACTGCCAATTTTTTACAACACAAGTACAGAATCCCCACTATAACCTTCTCAGACACATCACCCCTCTTTCAGGGAGGTGAGAAACTGAAGCAGGACCTGTTTCTCAGCTCCCTGTTATGGAGCCTCCACCAAACTGTGCAGGCCCAGGTCCTGATCCCCACGCACCCTGTCTGAGCCCAGGGGAGGAGCCAGTATTTCCCACACCCAGGAGTCATTGGGTGCCCCAAGCCTCATCCCTCTTACTCCCACAGCACCAAATTCTCTGACAAAAAACACCAATCAGCTCTTCTCCACCTGCAAACTAACTGCAAGGTCTTTTATGGGTGTCTCACCACAAACCACCACGAGGCAAGAGCACCAAGCAGGGAGAGTGACCCACCCAGAGCCACACAGGAAACACATCTGAAGAAGTGTCTCACTTCCCACACCCAAGCTGAGCCTCAAGGCCTCCCTTTCTGTCTCTGTGCTTGGCTGTCCAAGCACACTGAACATGTGACAGAGGCAGAAGACTCCACCACCAGCACTACACCTTTTGCTGCAGAGTGGAAGGGCATCCCAGGGCCTTCAAACAAAAGTCCAGCCCCAAGGCTTACCTGGCACAGCACTTCCAGCCTCTCTTTGTCTCCTTCCGCCGTCACCAGCTGTGACAGCTTTTTCAGCAGTTGCTGTGAGGGTGGAGTAGTGATATCAAGCAAGTATGTCAAAGCCTCAGGGAGAGTGCAGGCTGGGAGCTTTTTGTCACTTGTCCAGTAGCCACCTGGAAATGAGGGAAATAAAAGGACTCTTGGCAATTCCCACAGTTTTTGACAGCTGTGGAGCCCTGCAGAACTCAGTGTCCTTCAAAATACACCTTCAGGTCTAGAGCACAGGGTCCTTTGAAAGAGGTTAATGTGAGGTTTGGAACAGGGAGGATCTGATGTAGAGAACTGCAGGACAACAGAACACTTGGAAGTTAACATCCTTTCATTTGAGGAAACCACCTCTCTGTGTGCCAGAATGCATGATTCAGCAAATAGTTCCCACTAAAACAGGAAAGATGATCAGGACATGTAAGTCTAAGTTAGGACTCTGACATGATTAATTTATTTGCAGTCAATGGCCAATTCAGCATCTGAACGACACACAGTGTCACCTTGGGTACCTCTGCAGAGCCTGGGGCAGCCACCACAGCTGCCAGAGTTACAGAACAGTGAGAATACAAATCGAGAATGCTAATAACTAGCAGCAGCAACAAAATCCTACTGGGCCTTAAGGAAAGGGTCACAGAATCAAACTCAGTTGACCAAAGCTCTTAGGAATGTTAGAGAAATCTGTCCAACACCCTCTGCTATTTTGGGTGAAAAGACCCAACTTACCACCAGTGCAGGTCTCAAGCCTGATGGTCTGGTCAGCTGGAGGGGCATCCCTGACACGTGCTATGATGCCCTGGACCAGTTCTGGCTGGTTGCCTGGGAAAATCCCGACGTGTTCCCCAGGCAGGTAGCTCACTTCCTGTGTAGTCTCACAGCAGAGTTTGACCAGAAGGGTAACACGACTGGGGAGAGAAGAAACCGCCGAGACAGATCTCGATTACACGGACAGGACTTCCCTGGAGTTGCACAAGGAGGGAACAGATCTGCTGTGGCAGTTGGCATTGGCTCCTGGTGTTCAGCACCAAATGCCAGACCAGCTCAGGACTTCACAGAGACTTGCACAAACCAGAGTGCAGCTATCAGAAGCACTTGTGTCCCAACAAACCAGTGCTCAAGTGCTGCCTGGTCTGTCCAGTACAGAACATACATGCCTGCACTCAGCACTGCAGACTGCACAGCTCACAGCTCTGCCAAGGATGATCCCTGAACAGCTGCAGGTTGTTTATGACCAGACATTTCAGATGTTTCAGACTTTAGCGAAATGTAGTATTGCAGTATTTGAAAGAATGAGGTGTCATACCTGGACTTTGAACTTTGGAGATTTTGCCTGGATTTCAGCTTCATGGGAATGACATCCTTGGCATGAATGCTCGCAAGAGCTGGTGAGAAAAGAGGACATGACTCAGGGCAGCTCTCTGGTGAGGTTTGTTTAACATGCAGACAGGAACTGCACCACACTGGCCCTGGGCCGCGATGGCCGATCCGCTGGCTGTGTGTGCTCTGTTCCCTGGCTAAAGGCAGCTCAGCCCAGCTTCTGGTCCTCTGGGGCTGTCAAAATATGTTAGTTTTGGTGTTACTGGGCTGGAAAAGATAATCTATGCCATGTAAACCAATGGTTTTTTCTCTGACCACTGTACTTCGTTACATGCACTCCACCACGCAGCAGGGCCAAGAGTTCTTCTGAAACCCTTCACAGTTCAGCCTCGCCTGAAGCAGCAAGGGCGGAGGGAGGGGAAGGTGGGAGCAATACCTTTAGCCAGGTCCATGGGCTGAGAGTCATGCACTATCCTGTAGCTGGCAGGATCCCAGCTTTCCTCCGAGGTACAGACCTCAGGCAGCTGAATGCTGTGTCTCCCACGGATGTTGAAAATGTCACAGGCAATCTAGAAAAAACCCACAAAACTAAGGCTATTTACACTAAAATACAAAACCAGTTCTTAGCATTGTCATGATCCTAACAAGGAGCTTTCAGTGCCACAGATTGCTGAGTTCAGTGGTGTTACACGGGTGCAGCGAGTTCAGTCAGGTTCCTCTTCTACCCAGCAGAGCTAAAAACAGATCTACTGCAACCAAGTCTGGTATTGGATGCTACCACCCTTGTTCATACCGGGCACTCCATCGCCCGGGAGGGTTCATGGAACTTCACGTGAACATCAGAAAAGGACAGAAAATGGGCCCAGTTCCCTCTGCGGCTTAGGCAGGCAGGAGGGAGAAGCAGAGTCCACAGACATCCAGGTGGTTGCTTCCTTCATTTCCCCCCATTTTCATGGGAAGCTAGTGAATACTGAACTGGAATGCCTGAACCAAAACACAAGCTGTGTGTCACCTGGAAAGCACTGATGGCCCAGGTGCGGAAAGCTTCCTCCTGCCCGCTGAGCTCGTCCCCTTCCCCGACCGGCGCGAGCCGCGACGCCCCGAGCTGGGCCAGCTTCTGGTCAATGGCATGAGCAAAGGCACAGAACTCTGGGTACATGCTGGACCCCAGACCAAACACAGCATATCTGCAGGAGGACAGAAAAATAGATCACTGTCTTGTGCTACATGAAAAGCAAAAGGACTCGATCACATGCAAAGCAAACAGCGAAGTATTTTTACCTGATTTTCTTTCCAAGTGCTTTCAGTGCGAGCAAGGAGTTCTTCAAGGTCTGCACAAAAATGCATAACTTCAGGTTAGAAAAACACCCTGATTTAAAACAGAAGGGAGAACTGATCCATATCTTACTCAAAGACATGAGACAAATGAAAGGTCTTTGGTCTCAGTCTTTGAGTTGAGCCTCGTGTGCCCTGAGGTGAACATTACCTTTCCGTTACCTGGAGAGTCTCCATTGCCAAAAGTGCTAGTAACCACCAGGAGAAGTGTTTCCTTTTCCAGGTCACAAATGTTGTACTCATCCATGCACAGGACCTGGAAGGAATAAAGCTCATGAGACATTGCCAGCAGACATAAGAACTAGTGCTGGAGATCTCTGACGTCGGAGGAACACTGACCAAACGTACAAGGCATTGTGCTAAATGAACACAATATCAACACTGCAGTCCAACCTGTGTTACTGGACATTCAAAGTGCAGGCTGGGAGAATGAAAAGGTTTGCAGAAGCCAAACTTCTTTCTGCATACAGTGTGGATGATTGACACTTGCTCACCTTGGTGCTGAAGGCACAGTTGAACAAGCTGCACAGGCTGTGCGCGAGGGTTTCTGACTTCCCTGTCTCTGTGGCATAGATCACCGTGGCCTTGGCCCTGGTGGCCATTGCCTGTCGCATGAGTGAAGATGCAAAGAGCACAGCCCTGGGGAAACATCAGTCACATCTCATTTCTGATACAGCTGCACCGATCCACATTGGTTCACAATCCAGCTAGGAAAGCCTGATCTGAGCATGGCTCTTCCCTGGAAGGTGGTTCAGAAGAACAGCCCTGAACCCTTGGATAGGGATGTTGCCTCAGTGTGGGCAGGGAAGGCTATGACTCAAACAACTCATGTGTACTGTAATAATTTTTCATTTTTGTTTTTTAAAATAGAACAGAAACATGACAAGAACAGAATAGCTGGACATGAAGACTCTTATTTGAACAACTTACTTTGCCAAGATGCTAAACTTGATCACTTTTTTGTTTGGCCTCCGGGTCTCATCCTGCCACACATGTGTTTTCCATGCATCCACCTTTGAAAACAACAGGTAAGTTTCAGGTAAGAAATGCAAAACAGCAAGCAGACAATTTGTGTATCTCTGAAGTGCCTGACCAAAGAGAGTCTGGACATACAACCCACTGAGTACAAACATGTGATCAGCCTCTGCAGCATTAAACTGCATTTTACTTCAAGGCACAGAACCCAACAGAGCTGACAGCACCTTCCACAAGAGCTCCTGACTGCAACTCCTGCATCTCTCAGTGAACTTTCATTGCCTCAGTGTGTGGCCTATCAGCCAGACTCCTTCAGGTCTGCCCTGCCACAGTGTCTCTGGAGTCGGTGTTTGTTTGATGATGTGTACCTGGTAGTAATAGAAGGGAGTGAGGACATAGTTCAACATCTCCTGGTGGAAGACAGGAGTTATGCTGCCCGAGATGGGCGGCACAATCCACACCCAGTCGGCCGGGCAGCCGCCCCGCGAGCGGTACTCGCTCTGCAGGTGCTTCAGGAACGACTCGGACGCAGAGTGGTGATCCATGATAGTCACGTTCTGCTTCTGGAGCAATTGCAAAAGGAAAGACATTCATCCAGGAGCCTGTCCTGCTCTTCTACCTGATGTGGCTAAAGCAATCCTCCTGCTTTGGTCAATACTTCAAGGACTTTACTCCACCCTGGGAAATAAAGACTATCAGCAGCTCCCGCCGAGATACAAATTGTGGCACAGGTCGTTGATTAAGGACTCAGATCTTTCCTGCACCATCAGCATTTTACCCCTCCAGCAATGGGAGTGCATGCAAAGACTCTGATTCACTTTCACCCACTTTTGATATCGTCATGATAAGTTAATTAAACTGCAATTGAAGATAAAATACATTAATCCAATAGCTTTGCACAGGTTTTGACCCTTAGAAAACTATGTTAAAAGGATGAAAACTCTTGCCCTTAACTTCTTTTTCTCTCCCTTCTGCCTTCACCTGAGAGGAAACATGGATTCCTCTCAGGTGTAAATCAAGAATAACTCTACTGGGATCCCAGTGTAATCTCTACTGAGCTCTGGGCAAAAGGGACAGGCAGTGCCAGTGACTCTCCACATCCCACAGGTGCTGACTTACCTGGAAGCTGTGGAGCACAGCCACGTTGATCTCTACAACAGCTCGGTCCTTCCATAAGGATGACAGCTTATTTGTCTCCAGCCCCATTCTCCTCCCAACCTCCTACGTGTGAATGAGAGAGAGGAAAGCAAAAGGAACTTAGAACCCATGATTTCTCCACCACATCACCTAAACATGCAGGAAGAGGAGTGCAGAAGGGGGAAAAGTCAGTTTGAGGCTGGGGAAAGTGAGGGCAGCACAAACACCTGAGACTGAAGGCAAACTCAGATTCTGGAGTTTTGGTTCCAGTTTCGTGAGGCATGGAGTGGTTCTCTCCCACCCCAGCAAACACTGAGTGTGTCTTTCCAAAACTGTTCCCCACCAAGCACATTCCCTTTGCAGCCCAGCCCACTGCCCTCCAGCAGGTTACCTTCAGGATGTTGTATCTCTGCACGTCACAGAAGTCCCTCACCCCTATCTCTGTGCCCATGTACCAGCCGTTGAAGGGACATGCGGTGAACTCCAGCCCTCCCACCTCCAGCAGCATGCTGGCCACAGCAGGCAGGGCATACCACTTCAGATCCAGCTCCTTGAACCACTCATACCTGTCCAACAAAGCAGTGTGACTTAGCATTTATGTGCCTTTTCCTCCTTTAGGTGATAACCAGAGAAGCCCAGGAAGGTAACAATTCCAGGAGAATGACCCACAGAGGAGAGTCTGCAGAAGCTCACAGCAGAACCATGTTAGAGTGCTGCAATCTGCAGGCCAGTCCCAAAACAACCAAGAAGAAAAACCCAGAGAAAAAGGCACTGAACACTGTTGTGAGTGCAGTCATATTTCACATGTGCATTTCCCTGCCATAATGATGACTTTTAAAATCCTAGATGTGATTGAAATGTAGATTGGGAAAGAAAGATTTCCAGCAAAACTGCTCTTGGTTTCCTTAATTTAAATCCCATTTCATTGTTCTAACAGGCATTTTATCTTTCAGGACAATTTACCATCACTTCACCCTGACAAAGAACTCATAAAGCGACTGCCGCAGGCTCAGGCCAATAACCTGCCAAGGTGAGGCAGAGGCAAAAATGCAATTATCTAAGTCTCGTGTGCTTACTTTGGGTGCTCCATTGGCACTTCGAGGACAATTTCTGGAGGCAATTCAAATATTTCTGGGTCTTGGCCGTTCGCTTGGAGCACCAGTGGCAGCACATCAAAGCGACCGTATTTCGGCTGCCACCCGAGCTCGATGCACAACTGCAAAAACACAAAGTGCATTTGGGGTTTTTTAGGCTGCCCCTGCAGATCTGAAGACAAAATTTTAACCCTCTAAAACATGCCGAGGTAAATTCTAAGTGATAAAGGTTATCCTTCCCATTCAAACAGTGTTGAGACATGTTGTTGGGGTACTGGTTGTGTCCCTGGCTGTGTCCCCTGACAGGGGAGATTAGCTCACCCTGTTCTGAGATGGAGTGGAACACTGTTATACCAGCACTGTTAGAAACTATTGCTCCAACCTGCAGCAAGAGCCTGTGGGGCAGAACATCCCACTCCCTCCTCTCCTCCCTACCACTCTGCATGAACACACAAGGGAAAGCCCAGGGGATGGGTCGGCCAGGACAGGAAGGGACTGCCCTGCTGGATTTGGGGCTTTGGGATTGCACCTGTGTGAACTCCACGGTGGCAGGGTCCCCAAGGACAGACCCATCTGGCATTTGGTACCCAGCGTAGCGGATCAGCTGGCTGTTCCACACGCGGAAATCGTGTTTGCCGTCAGTCCTCTGCGGGAACACCGTGATGGCTGATCTGCCCAGAGAGACAGCACGTCAAACACACTCTCTTCATCAAGGCACGACTTGCTGCCAACTTTTGCTGTTTGACATTAAAACTGAAGAGACCTACCTGATATTCCCGTTGTTTGTGGCATACTGAACATGACGACAGATATGCTCAAACATCTCCTGGGCTGTTTTGCAGTCCCGTGCGTCAAACACCTGCATGTTCCAACAGAAACCACAAGAAAAGTCATCTTGAAACACCACTGCAAGCTTGTTTTTTTTCCTAGGTGTTTAAGGAAAGGAAAGACTGTAGCTCCACCAGGAAGGGCTCATTTTTATAGCCCTTATAGGGATCATTTTCACACCTAACAATCCTCCAAGTCCAAAACATGCACCTGGTTCCACGGCACACCTGGTTCCTACGCTCACACTCCTACGTGTTTTCACCCAGCTGTGAGGCAGAGAACTACAAATAAAATGATCTGATGATGTGAGCAGGACTACTCCACAGGAGAAGCAATGGCATGTTTTGCCAAAGCAAGGGACATTCTGCAGATTCACAGCACATGACTATTTGGCCCATGACATCTAGATCCACAGCTTACCTGGAGATTGGACCACTGGATTCTCCCAATACACCTGGGTGCATTCCTCCAGGCCTGTTTGGCACCAAATATCAGCTCATCCTCTGTCAGATGGTAGGTTCCTGTTGTTTGTATCTCCTTGGTCACTGCTTCCAGTCGGTCCTGGTGTTCCTTTACTTTTAGCCTTTTGAACAGAAAACAGCCGTGAAAAGAAACAATGAGGATTTCATGTCTTAGAACTGATTCAAAGTGAATACATTCTTTTCCTGTTTGAGGCCAAGAATATCACAGACATTGCTGAAGCCATAAAGCTTCTGAATTCCCTTCGGCATGAGGAGACTCCACTCCCATCGTCAGTTACCTGCCAGAGTGCAGGTGAGCACATTTCCAGAGAGGACATTCACATCCATGTAGGCTGAGATACGAAAAGTTGGGATAAACACAGAGGAACCTGTGCCTGTTATCAGTCTACACTCTCTGCATGCAGACAGAGATGACTCTACCCTTCATGAGCCTCCATGGCCTCAGGGAGCAGAGATTTCACTGTGCCTCAGGTGGAGAAGGCACCGTCACTGTCGCCCACCTTCCCCACCACACCCCACTCCTGCCCCCAGAGCTCAGCTGTCACCTAGTGCAGCTGCCTGGGGCTGGCAGCTTTACCAAAAAGCAGGAGGGGTTCTAGGTAAAGGGCTGAGTTAACTCCACAGGACTCTGAGTGAGAACTGCTGAGGAAAATTGCTCCTGGCCTCAGGATCTGGGACCTGCACCTATGGAGTGCAAATGCTCAATGGCCTCAAGAAGAGACTAACACACTAGAAATTCAAGTAGTGACACCATCCTTTCATGTGCATGGACTGGTCATAAGCTTTTCTGTGTAAGCTTTCGTTTAAATTTGGATTTTCCAGATTAATTAGGAAAAAAATTGTCAATGGCAAGCAGATGAAGAGCAGAGAGCAGGCTAGCTTCAGGCCAGGGGGAGGATAGCAGTGGCTGTGCTCCCAAAGTTCCACCATTTGCACAGGGCACAGCTCTTCTGAGCAAAGTAAGTAGGATTTTCATTCCTAAAAGGAAGTGCTGAGCAATTCCTTTGCCAGGGGAACCAGCTCTAAAATTCTTTAGTTTGATAACAGAGAGTGAAGTCAAAACATGAGAAAATACTTATCACAGCACAGACAAAAATTGTTTTGTTGGCTTACAGGCAGAATGAAAACAGCCTGCACTGTCTGAGAGTTTTCACATTTTCAGAAGGATGAAAGATCAAGGACAAGCATGTAAGATAGTGTAAATCAACGTGATCAAACAGCCACAAGCAGAGACACAGAGATGTGCAAATGCAATATGCTGGCGAGCACAGTCTGTGTTTAAGTCAGGGACCTTCAGAGGGACCCAGAGGGAAGGAACTCTTCTTTGTAGAAGAGTTCAAAGTGTCTAAAGAAGTGGCCATTATGTGCCAAGTCTCTTTGAGAGCAAACACTGAATTGTTGTTTGAAAGTTCACCATGTGCAATGTCAGTGCAACTCTCAGACCTCAAGCAGCAGTTCCTGCACCACGGCCCTTTTTGAGAAAACACAAACCTCTTCCCTGAAGACAGAGCACCCTCTCAGTGTGCTCAGTGAGCTACTGCTGACAGCACAGAGCAAGGGTGAGAGGCAAGATTGGCCTTCCAATCTTTGGCTAAAGCCTTGAGAGGAACACAGAGAAAAGATACTTGGAACAGCACAAACAAAATGCATTGCCCACAGTATTCACATCTGAGGCTGATTCGAGTGGAACTAATCCCAGCCAAGGCCAAGACAGGAGAGTCCTCAGTGTACTGAGCATAGCACACTCCAAAGGGATGGAGCTGAGGAACTCACTCTGTGTATTTTTGGATGCATGTAGCAGGACAGTTACCAGCAGCTGTGAAGAGCCAAATGCCCAGAGCCTCACAGACTGGCAGGTAGAGGGGCTTTACACCAGAAAGGAAGGAGAAGTTGGCTTACTCTTTCAAGGAGCTGTAGTACTGCTTGAGGAAGTCTGTGGCCTGAGGTAAAAGGTCTTCCACTGGCACTGGCCCATCTCTGGTACCTTTCACCAGGCCCTTTGTGGCCATGAGTGCCCCTTGGCAGGCTTTGGTCCGGCAGCTGATCACCTGAAAACCAAGAAAACGTCAAAACCCAATTTTGCACTCTGCATCTTTTCAATGTTCTGAAAAGTCCCTGGTCAGATTTGCATGAATCACCTCCTTTGCTGTCAGGTGTAGTGTGTCGAGAAAGCTGGATCCATTTTCCAAGTTTCTTACTCTTACATGTCCTGGACATCCTGATATCTGCTTTGGAATTTTGATACCATTTTGGGGGAGATTCTGGACAGAGAAAAGACACAAATGCATACTGTCGTCAGACTTATTAAATATCTCTAAGCTTCATTTTAAACTTCATTTGATCATGAAAATGCTACAGATTAAACTCTAGGTATTAGGTATAAATGTGACCTGCTCCAACAGGAGACAACCTGAGAGACAGGGCAGGTTTGTTCCTGCAGGCTGCGTTTCCAAAGGTGAAATCAGGCACCCCAGTCCCCCTGGGGTCACCTCTTCCCTTAAGGCTTTCCAACACTCCTTTTCAGTCAGAAAAGATCTTTCACCCAAAGATCTCCTGCAGTCCTAACCTCCTGCAACCACAGTCAGGGCTCCCAAGAGAACTTTGAGCAGTTTGAGCAGCAAGCACCACCCAAGCAAGCTGTTACTGTCAAACAAGGATGCTTGGAACACACCTCTCCAGCCTCACTGGCCTTTGCTGACGATGCGATCAGCGGCATCTCATTCTGCTTCTTGCTCAGCTCATGCAATTTGGCATCATCCTTTTCTGGACTTTTGAGAGAGAAGGAAAAATGCTTAGTTTTCATAAGTTTTGCCTTCAACATCAGGGGGGAGATGCTCAGAGCTGTCTCTAAGGGACACATTGAGTCCACAAGCCAAGTGGTCATGGCAGTGTGAGGGGAGGAGTGGGCTAGGAGTAAAGCTATAGGATCACCCTCTCCAGAGCACTGTGTGGGAAGGAAAACAACAGATAGGAAACCTAAGTGACAGCCTGGAGACTGAGAAATGGAAGATGCATGTGCAGCTTACGTTATACAGTGTCTTGCATGAATTGGATCACAGAAATACTTTACCACACTAATTACAGCATAAATAACCAGTGCTGATTTGCACAGCATGCTCATGCCTCCTGAGCCCCAGAGTACATGGACCCAGTGCAACACACCAAATAAATTTAGAACTGTGAAAGAGACAGCAAGATGGTTTATACCCTTGGTGAGCGTACAACTTAGGTACAGGAGTTTAATGTTCACTGCCAAGTTGCACCGCCCAGGGACTCCCAGGGACAATGCTCTTCAGTTAGTATCAGTGCTCTGGAAACACACTGCAGCCTTCTCCAGAGCCCACACCAGCTCACATCTCCCCTTTCCAAGTGAAAGATAATCTATGAGAGCATGAAAAGCAAGGGGCTTACCTACGGATCTTCCTGCTTTTCTCCACGTTGTTGTTGATGTCCTTCTTGGCGCCGTAGCGGCTCCGGGCAGCATGGGGCTTGAACACGAACTGCCAGGGGCACAGCATCTTCTGGGCTTTGCTTGTGGTTTCCTTCACAGCGCTGAAACCTTGTATGGTGTGATGTGGGAACACTTCTGAGGACAGAAAAAGCTCAGCAAGGTCACTTTTTACCCAAGAGGGTAACTCCCTTTCACATCACTCAGAAACTCATCACACTAATCTAACTAACATCCTGTTTTTAACAGGAAAATTGCTTACTTGTAGTGACAGTAAAACTGGCACCTCACTTAGTCAGTGTAAAGCTGCAGTCATATCCCAGTCCCAAGGACTGCCCAGAGAGCTTCAGACCTGCCCCAGCCGTGCAAAGCAGCAAGGGTCAGTTCTCAGCAGACCACGAGCTTATTAGAAAAGGGGTGTGAAATGTTGCTGTGTTAATCACACAGGAGTGAAAAAAACCTGTTTGTAATCAACCAAATCTTTTGCAATGTACCCACCTGCCAGAAACCAACAGGGCTCTGACAGGCTGCAGTCTGTGGTTTGCAAGATAAGCAGCATGCAGCATTTACACAGGGATGTACCGAGTTGGTGCTATTCACTTTAATGTATTTCCTGCTAATTTCTGAGCCCAAGGTGGATTCTGTGCTAGGGAAGGTGTGACAGAAGAGAAAGTCCAAGGCAGTAAATTACAGGGTTAGACAGAATTAGCCACAGTGTTTGATTCTGGTTCATAACAGGTATCAAAAACTGATGTTTCAAAAATTTAGAAAGAAATAAAGAAAGAAAACATACATTGCCATATACTCTTGATGTAAATGATGCAACTTTTTAACAGTTCTATTGCTTTTACAGTGAAGGCCAAATGATGTTGTCTGCTGAACAGTCACGAGAGAAGAAATCCTTCCAGCTCTGTGCAAAACTGCAAGGTGTTAGGATTGTTTGCTACCACAGATTACAGAAAGAGGGTGTAATAAGCATTTCTCTACAGCTACAAAATAGGAACAAAACTAAATTACTATTCTGCAGTAAAAATGTGCCTATACATTTTTGTCAAACAGAGGGGGAAAAGAGAGAAGAAATGCAGAGGGAGAGAAAAAGAAAGCAAGAAAGAAAGTTAGAAAGAAAGAAAAAGATAAACAGAAAGAGGAAAAAGGGGGCAAACTCCCAAACAAGCAGAAAACCAATACACAGGAAGAAAAAGGAGGAGAAGGAAAAGGAAGAAAAATAATAATGGGGAAAAAAAAGATAAGAATAAAAAGAAAACAAACGGAAGGAGGGCAGACTCACATTTCCCTTCACAGGCACTCAGGGGAACCTGTTTGTGTCTGCACCGCGGGCTCTGAGGATAACTTCGAGTGCTACCTGCTACGTGCACAAGCCTTTAAATCAGCAGGGAAGGGGGACTTTCAGAGCAGCAGGACAACTTGGAGCCAGAGCAGGAGAGTGAGTCCAACACTTTGTTCCTAATGCAGAGAAAAGATAGAGTTTACCATATAATGACTTTACCTGCGAGTGGCAGTAAATGAATGACAGAAGGAACACTTGGACACAGCTCTGTACTGTGCCTCTGAGAGGTGATCCCAGAGCCTCTTCTGCCAGAGCTCCTGCCTGTACCTCGGACAACTTGGAGCCAGAGCAGGAGAGTGAGTCCAACACTTTGTTCCTAATGCAGAGAAAAGATAGAGTTTACCATATAATGACTTTACCTGCGAGTGGCAGTAAATGAATGACAGAAGGAACACTTGGACACAGCTCTGTACTGTGCCTCTGAGAGGTGATCCCAGAGCCTCTTCTGCCAGAGCTCCTGCCTGTACCTCTCGGGCTCTGCATCCCTCCTGGGAGGCAAAAGCATTTTATACTCCGGGGCCATGTATGCAAAATAGCTGAGTAAGGCTGGACATGGACAGTGGAGAAAAAAGGGGATTCCCAAAATGTCCCGTATGCCTTGGAGAAGTGCAGGGCTGTGCGGGGCAGCGTTACACAACGGCAGGGAGGGAGGCAGGGAGGGAGGCAGGGAGGCAGGGAGACGGAGGGAGGGAGGGAGGGGAAATCAGTTCCTGATGCTGTGAGCATCCCCTCCTGCCGACAGCGCGTGCAGCCTCGGCTGCTCCTGTGCTCCGGGGCAAGGACAGGGCATGTCACTGAAAGCCTCTGCAGCCTTGTACACAGCGTTAAAACGACAAACCCTCCTGTGGCCAACCTGCAGGTGCTCTCCTGCACCTCACCCACAGCTTCAAGTGAGCTCTGCAAAGCTGCAGGGCTCGAGGGTGCAGACCAGGAAAGCATCTAACCAGGGGACTGTAACTAAGGACAGATATTTTCAGGTTCACATAAAGATATTCCTTCCTTCGTTTTGATCAAGTTCTAAAGGCTCTTTCTCAGTAGAGTATTTGCAGAAGTCCTCGCTCTGCAGAGCTCCCTGTTCTGCCTGTTGCTGCCTGCAAGGTCTGTCCCTTGGTGCTGCTCCAAAGTACTAGGAACATTGGGGGAAACTGCAATCCCCACTGTGCTGTACGTGGGCACACCGGGGCACAGCTGGGGAGGAAGGTGGGGCTGTCCCCAGGGTCAGAGCACGTGTGGACACATACCTGTCACACCCTGTGGCCTGGAGGCACAAGCCACCTGCAGCCCAGCTGAGGCGCCAGGCCAGGGCACCAGCAGAGATTTGGACCCAGTGCACTCCTTCCCAGGAATTGTGTATGGCCATTTTAAGGAAACTGTTTACAAACTCAAGCTGATTATTTAATCTGCTGACTAATATGAGGTCAAAAGAGGTACAGTGATAACTAGAGAAATATTTACAGGTGCTGACCAAAGATCTAGAGAAATGAGGCATAAGGCAGGCAGAGAAATGAGGAAATGCACGTTCTTTTTCATCTGCCACACTTTTACTGGACAAGTTTGGGCAAGGTGTTTTCTCCTCTCTGTGTCTAGTTTCTCTATTTGAAAATGAATGTTAAGTGCTTGTGTAAAGCACTCCCAGAGCCAAAGTGCTGTGTGCACATGTTCATGCACGAGATCCCCTGTATGTATCCCATCCAGGGTTGCTAGAGATGAATCTCTTGAAAATAGACCTGGGTTTTCTGAGCCTTCATGGACTTGGCTGCATGAAGCCTGTGCTGCTTTGCATCCAGGGCTCATGGATTTTCACACTTGGATTTTTCTTTAACGTGGTTCCTTTCTCTCTGCAGAATTAGCAGCTAACACCCCTGCTGTAAAGTATTCCTGACATCTAACCAGTAGGCAGAAATGATGTGTGAGTTGGGTGACCCAATGCTATGCCACAAATTTCTACCTTTACGCTCTTCTTCGCATTTGTTGGTTTGTAACAGGGTTTAAAAATTGTCTTTGCACCCTTCCCTTTCTAATTAGCCTCTCCTTTCTACAGAACATGAGGAATCTTAATGCCTGGTACTGAAAGAAAAAACATATCTTAGTAGAAAGTTAACTGAATTCAACTCTGTCCAGTAGCTTTTAAGCTTTTAGTGTTCACCCTCCATATTTCCCTGTGCTCGGAGACTGCTGAAATCCAGGAAAGACTATGTAGGGATTGGATATGAAGAGCCAGATTTGGGATAACCAGAAGAGGGAAAACATCTTTCCTCAGGAGAAATGTTGAAAGGATTGGCTGAGGTACAGCCATTCAAGGAACTGCTTAATCATTCCAGTTGCTCAAACAGGACCTGTTTTTTAACTCGCTGAAACTGATAATAAAACTCCCTCTGTACAGTAAGAACAAGGGAGAACCATTCATTTCTCAGGTGGAGCGAGAGACTAACTAAACAAGCTCACTGTGCACTCCTTCTACAAATATTCTGCACTGCTTGGAAGGCTTTTCCTTCAGAAAACCAATTCTGCACGTAGTTCCTCTTTTTGCGCAGCCACCTCTGCCACCTCAGACAGCAGGAACGCGGTGCTCTCCGTGCACTAAGGCTGGTGAGAGAGGTGCCTTTCGGGGCAGAATGTCCGACCACACTGGCACCCTGAGTTAGATTTGGGTTTGCTTCTGGAACTGTGATGGTCTGTCGCCTCAGCAATCAGCTTCCTGCAACCTCCTTCCCACAGAGTCACAGTCTGGGTCTGATATGGTAATATATATTGTATCTGCAAGATTCTGCATCAGCTCAAGAAAATATATTCCCAAAAACATTTACAAATCAAGCAATCCTGAGATCAGGACATCTCGAGTCTTCAAAGAGCTGCTACACTGAGGTAAAGCTGATGACAACAGGGGCTGATTTTCCCAACTCCATGGGACCCTGAAGAGATGATGTTCAGCTGTCCCAACTTTCCATAAGTTACCAGTGAATAGTTCCTAACTCCCTTTTCCTAACTAACCTAACTATTGCCTCTTTGAGATGTCTCCATGATGCCCTTGAACTGGCAGAACACAACTACAGGTGAGTGTGAAGGGCAGGACTGAGGGCAGAACAGCCTGGTGACCTGGGATGGGACATTGAGGAGTAGGATAATCACTCAAGATAGACTGGGAGCCCAAAAGGCCAACGACATCATGAATGCACTCAGGGAAATGCTCACTGTTTCCATCACAAGACGCCACTTTGTGGTACAAATAACTCTTTGGGTTGAACACTGATCCACTTTCTGTTCCTTTTCTGGGCTGAAGTGCTATTTCTCCACTGCCTATGAGGCTTCATTCTCATTTCCTAACTTGCTGTTCCCGAACTGCTGGAGAGACATCACTTCCCTGGAGACACTTCAATGTGTGTTTCATAGAGAAGAAGTTACAGTAAGACACGTACTATCTGTTTGTGCTGTCACCAGTGCCTGGCCTGATGGGCACTGAGCCTCTCTGGACTTCTTCAACTCCAAAGACATCAGTAATGACAATGGGGAGGGTTTGAGGCATGGCCTGGGTGCCAGGCCTGCCTGGGATACTACCTGCAAGGCTCAGTTGGCCAGCAGCTCTGCACTGCTCACCCAGCAAAGCCCTTTGCACAAAGTACACTTTAGTTCCCTGATCCCTACACTAAATACTAAACGTTGCAGAGATGGAAGAGAAAGCCTGTGAGACGAGGGCGGTGAGACATCCAGCAGGGGATGGTCAG